TCCCCTGGAGACCTCCTGAGTATTGTTCCTGGTGTGAGCTGGGGTGGTACAGGCAGGTCTCCCCAGCCCTCACCCTGCTCCCCTGGAGACCTCCTACGTTACATTCATCAGCCCCTCAATTAATGCTCCTGTCCTGGTCTGATGCAGGCCATCCCAGATGGGGCAGGACCTTGCTCTTTGTGGCCCCTCTGAGACCCAGGACCCTCTTAAGGGGGCAGAGGGGCAGCAGGGAAGGTTTTAGGGCTGGGCCAGGGAGTGGCTTGGGTTTACCCAGGGCACTGAGGTCATGTGCCCTAGAGCTCTCCATCAGATCTGGGTGGGATATGGCTTATGGGCCATGAATAGGTAGGTCCTAGAGCCCATGCCCACCTCCCCTAACCTGCATGATGCACAGCTGTGACCGCTGTCAGGTAACAGCTGTGATCACTCCCTCTGGGGGCAGATGAGCAGGACCTTCACGAAGCATATGGGACCCCTGAGATCCTGCTGGAGATTGCGTGGAGCTCCTGCCCAGGTGTGGGGCTGTTGCTGCGGCTCCAATGTGCCTTCCAAAATTCTTGTTGAGGGTAAGTGACATGGCACCAGTATTCAGAGGTGGGTCTGGGAGTGATGAGACCTTGCGAGCTCCAGGGATAGATGCTCCCTCGTTCCGGGAGCAGGCCTGTTATGACAGGATAAGCTGGCCCTCTCTCCCACTGCCCTCTTCCCCCTCTGCCTTCCTCAATGGCAGGGTGCAGCAAGCAGGCCCTCACCAGGTGCTGCCCCTTTGATCTTGGATTTCTCAGCTTCTAGAACCTTAAAGAATACATTTCTATCTCTTATAAATGACCACCCTCAGATGTTTTGTGACAGTAGTACAAAAGACAGAGCCTGCTCTGTCCCTGACATCTGAAGTGAGGACCCAGCAGCTTGGCAGCCACTACCCACTGAGCTAAATAAGCGGGGGCTTCCAGAAGCCATGCCTGTGGCTTCTCTGGCAATATATATGCTCAGAAATTTAGTTGACTTAGCATCCGTGGCTTTCCCTAGCCAGACCCAACAACCTTTCCTCAGCAGCTTTCCTAACTGCCTATTCCTTTGATTACTCATGGCCATGTCTTTACTTTTAAAAGCGAATAACTTATCTGTGGCAGCACCATGGATGGAAAGGCCTCACCACTGACTCAGACATTTGTCACCAACTTTGTCATTGAAAACCTTAGGGGTGTTGCCTGTTACTGTTGGCGGTCTAGAAGAGGTGGGTCTCTTCAACACTCTGTGTATAGTGGGATTTTCTCTATGATTTACACATTCTTAACTTCCAAAGCTGCTATTTCCCCTCTGAGCCAACCTCCTCCTTCCAGTTCCCTGGTGAAGGAAGCTAGCAGCCAAATGAAATGGCTCATGTGTGGGTTTCAATGTCTTGGCCCAGAGCTGCAGGCTGAATGGGGCAGAAGACCAACCTTCAAGCTTCAGCAGGTTGGGCCCAGGCCTGACGAGGACCCACAGCCTCCCAGCCCCTGCTCCAGCTCCTGTGGCTTYCTCCCTCTCCTGAGCCAGTTCCTGCAGCCTCCCCTGGCCTCAAGGTACAGTATCAATATTGACAATGTGAAGTCTGATGACAACCAAGTGCTGGCAACTTGAGTCAACAAGGTATAAAAATTCTATTCTTTGTGAGCTTCCAGGTGTGCAGACGTGGTGGGTGATTTGTGTGTTAATCCTCGAGGCCTGGGTACCCAGATCTTTGTTCTTCAGGTTTTTGGATGTGCTTGACGTTTAAGTCAGCCAACTGAGTAAAGCCGAGCATCCTCCATAGTCGATGCGGGCCTTTCCATCACTGAAGACTGTAGGAGAAGACAGGCTGAGGCCCCAGGGGGATCCCCATGTCTCTGGACTTCAGCTGTATTATCAGCTGTTCCACTGGGTCAGACTACTGGCCTCCTGGGAGGGTTCAGACTTCCCAGACACTATGACACTGGTGATGATTTCTTAAGACCTCTCTACCTTTTCCATCTCCATCTCCCCTTCATCTTCATTACCACCTCCATCCCCTTCTCCATCTCCATCTCCCATCCCCCTCCATCTCCCCTTCATCCCCATCTCCATCACCTATTCATCTCCATCTCCATCTCCCCTTAGACTTCCATCTCCATCTCCTCTTACATCTCCATCTTCATCTTTATCTCCATCCCCATCTCCATCTCCATCTCCCCTCCGTCTCCATCAACTCTCCATTTCCTTTTTCATCTTCATGTCCATCTCCTTCTTTTTCTCCATTTCCATCCCTACCTCCCATTCATGTTCATCTCCATGTCTAGCTCCATCTCCATGTGTTGCTCCATCTCTATCTCCATCTGTATTTCCATTTGGGTTCTGCTTATCTAGAGATTGACTACTACAGAAAGATTAGATACGAAACAATTGTTTTAGATAATCCATCACATCAATTGGCTGAGGAAGAAAAATCCTGTGTTTCTATCAATAAATGAAGAAAATATGGTTGATAAAATGCAACATGGTTTATCATAAAACTCTCAGCAAACTTTGGATAGAGTACTCAAACTGTTAGAGGCTCTTTCCAGAAGCCCTTGTTTGACAGTGGTCGGGAACCTCATGCCGTGTCCCCAAGGTCAAGAGCAAGGCCCTCCATAGTGTTGCTCCCAGTGCTGCACTGGGAGGCCTGGCTAGGGACTGTGAGAAGAGAGGGAAAGAACAAGTTCTGGTGGGAATACAGAGTGGCCTTTGTCCCTGGGTAAGCCCACTTCTGTGTGCGGGATACAAAGAGCTGGCAAAAATCTCCTAGGACTAATGCACATTCACCTATGTTGATGGATAAAAGTTTAACATTTAAAGTTAATGCATTTTATATACATTATCATGGAACATTTAGAATTTTAAATAGAAGAGTGTCATTTATATCAGCACCAAAACTTGAAAAACTTATAAATTTAAACAGAAATGTGCACGATATGTATATATAACTATAGAACTCTGATGAAAGAAAGCAAGAATGATCTCTGTGGAGAGGCACTCCATGTTCACAGACAGGAAGACTCAACCCTGTGATGGTCCCTGGGGTCTGCAGGGGCTGGGCCAGGCAGGTGTGCAGGCTGCAGGTGTGCAGAGCTCCACTCAACATTGCAGCCTCTRTGGGCCGAGAGTTGAGGTTCTGGACTTTCCTCAGGGACTCAGTTTTTGCTGTGGGTTCCAGGTTGCTCTGTGATCCCCTGGGTTTTATCCAGTTTTTCTTCCTGACTTCCTTCCTGATGACCAGCAGCATCCCCAGGTGTTCCTCCAGTCATGGAGGCGAGAGCCCTCCACGGGCCTTGTAGATAGTTCCCTTCAAGCTCTCTGCTCGGTGATTCTCAACGGTGCCCCCCAGGTCTTTCCTCCCAGCCACAGTTGTCCATTCTAGTCCTAAGTGTAAATCTGCACCCACTTTAGGACTCTCGGGGATCCAACTGACACCTGTGTTTTCTGGAGCATACATGCAAAGGGTCCTCTCCAGTTCACACCTGGGGCTGCAATTCCTTGGAGGTAGAATATGGAAATACCCAGCACTGAAAGACCATGACACACTGTTGTTACAGTTCAGATGTGAGGTGTCCCCCAAAAGCTTATGTATGATGCAGTGCAAGAAGTTTAGAGATGAGGTGTTGGGTTACGAGGTTCTTAACCCAATTAGTGAATTAATCCCCTGATAGGGATTAACTGGGTGGTGATTGTAGAATGATAGTGAGTGGCTGAAGGAGGTGGGTCCCTGGGGGTGCACCTCTGGGGTATGTATTTGGTGAGCGGAGTTTAGTCTTTCTCTGTTTTCGGACCATCATGTGAGCTGTTTCCCTTCACCACCGTCTTCTGCTACCATGTCCTGCCTCATCTTGAGCCTTGAGGAATGGAGCCAGYTGTCTATGGACACTGGGAGCCCTCAAATAACGTTCTATCTTTAAAATTTCTGGTCAAATCCTTTTGTCACAATAATGAAAAGTCTGACTAAAACAGAAGTTGGTACCAGGAGTGGGGTCATGAACGTGACTAACCTGACCATGTGAGTCAAAAAGCTTTTTGGAGCGCCCTTCTTTCTGTGCCCCACTTCTCCCTTTTGGTGTGGAAATGTTGACTCTGTGCCTTTATATATTGGCTACATTGGACACGTGTTACTTGCTTTTGTCCCATTTTGATTTTTACACACTCAGAGTTCACCCTGAATCTCAGGGGAGACTTGGACTTGGACTTTGGGCCATGTTGGAACTGTGGGGACTGTGGGGACCTTGGARGTGGACTAAGTGTGTTTTACATTGTGARATRGGCATGAGCTTTTGCGGCACAAAAGCAGAATATTATGGTTTAGATATGAGGTGTCCCCCAAAGCTCATGTGTGAGTCCATGTAAGAGGGTTTAGAGGTGAGATGATTGGCTGATGACAGCCTTTACCCAATCAGTGAATTAATCTGCTGATAGAGATTAATCTGGTGGTGACTGTAGCCAATAGGGTGTGGCTGGAAAGAGGTGGGTAGGGGTGGGCCTTCGGAGTCTGTGTTTTGTATCTGCTGAGTGGAGACTCTCTTTCCCCTCTTCCTGGTGTGATATCCTCCCCCTGGCACACTCTTCAGCCCTGATGTCCAGCCTCACCTTGAATCCTGAGGAATGCAGCCRGCCRTCTGTGGACTGAGACCTCTGAAACCATGAGCCYCTAAGTGCCCCTTTTCTCCTTGAAAGTGTTCTTGTCTGGTGTCTTGGTCACAGCAATGAAAAAGCTGCCTAAAGCAGTGTTTCCCAGGTGGTCCCAGCAGTGTGTTCCTGCTCCGTGGCTCCGCATCCTGATGCTTACAGCCAGATTGAGATCTTGCCAATTTCATTTTGATAAAATTTCATCTCATTCTGCTCTGGTTTGATGCTTCCATGATTAATGAAGTTAACTATCTTTCAAAATGTGCCTGGGCCTTATTATGTGTTCCTCCTCTTGGCGGTGCCTGTCTAGGTCTTTTGGCTGTGAGTTTCTCCTGAGGTGTCTGTGCCTTTCTTTCTGTGGTGACAGTTGCTCACACATCGTTGATGGCATCACTTTGCTGGCTGTAGATATCGCTGTGCACTTTACCAGGTGGCCCTTGTCTCCTCAGCTTGTGGAAGGTGTCTTCTGACAGAAACAGCCTCTTAATCTTAGCAGAGTTCAACCTGTCACTCTGTGTTCAAGTGTCTTGTCTAAACACGTGTTCAGGCATGGCTGTGACAGCTCCACTGTCACTGAGCTTKCTGCCCCACCCCTCTGGCTGTCTTTCATCCCACTGGACCTCTGTCAATAACCTTTCTTGGATTATCAACGTGGGATGAGGCTAGGATGGGAGGGGTCATGTTATGCAATTTCCCTGGCCCTGGAGAGAGGCCGGAGCAGTGGTGATCATGTGGCTGGTGGCTATCAGGGGGGCTGCAAGGACWGTGGGAACAGCTTGTTGTTGTTTAGTGAAACCAGACACTAAAATGAAAGGGTAGTCTCAGGGATTGGGGTGAAAATTAGAAAATCTCTATTGTAAGACTGTAAGAAGCCCAATTTTCTGTAGGCAGAGGGCAGGCTGTTTTGAAAATTGGGCCCAGGACCTGATGGTAAGAGTGCTGGGTAACACAGGAGGTTGAACCCCGAAGCTCAGACACCCCTCCTTTAAGGGAGGGCCTGATGGTGAACACGGGGTCCTGAGACCTGGAATAAGGCATTTGAGTTGTGGTYTGAGAAGTTTGCTTCAGCCCACCAGGCACAGGGCACAGTCCAGCAGAAGTCCTCCCCGGGGTTGAGGGATGCAATTAAAGCCTCAGCGTCCACGGCAGAGCAGGAACTAGGTTGTCCCCCTGACTCAGGCAAGGAACAAAGGGGCCACCGGTGTCCCCGTCCTCTGCTTCCACAGTGTTCGTAGAGACCAGGAGGCCAGGGGAATTCTGCCCAAGTCCATTTCACGGTGACTCCAYGTCATCCGAATCCCATATGTGACTTCTGGAAGAGCCCTGACACTGGGTGTCCACTCTGTTGAGAAGGAGCTAGGGGACAGCAGAGGTGGCTGCAGAAGAAGAGTGACAGGAGGGACYGTCACTCAGGCCTTGCGAGTCCTTGGCATGTTGGGTGTAGACCGTGGAGGATGTGGGTGGTGTCCTCTGTGTTCCCAGCCTTCACCAGTTCAGCTCAGGATCCCTGTGACCTCTCTGGGTTCCTGCTCGGCTGCCCGGCCAGTGGTGCCAGGAAGGCGCACGCCGTGGGCACAGCTCTCCTCCCACACCTGCTGGAAGTGGGTGGAGAAGCAGCCAGGTCCCCCACGCCCTGGGGTGATTTCAAGGCACACGCCCTCCACCTTCTTCAATGTGCCSGAGGTGAGCTCCCGGGACACACATGACCAGCAGCACATGAGCACCCAGTGTGCTGTGACCCAGGGCTCTGCCCTGCCAYGTGTCTGCCTGAGCTCTGGGTGGCTTCAACTGCAAGAACTGGCTGCTCACAGTCTGGGGACTGAAAGCCTGAGGCCAGGCTCTGGCGGTCAGGTTCTGGTGAGCTCCCCTTTGGCTTGCAGGGGGCTACCTACTGTGTGCACTCATGGTGGACAGCAGGGCCCTCCTGGCTCCTCCTCTACCAAGGACACGAGCTCCAGCACGGGGACTCTGTTCTCTGACCTCACCTAGCCCGTCCCTCCCCAAGCTCCACCTCCAAGTGCCATCACAGGCGAGGTCAGGGCTTCCACGTCCGAGGTTTGCAGGGGGCACATAGTCAGTCCATGACGGCGTCCAACAGACGGACACAGGGTGTCATCATCACATGTTAATGGCCGAACYCAGAAGCCATCCATGCAGGGAAAAGTCATGGAATGTTACACAGCAGTGAAAACAGAAAACGCCACTCTACGTGATAGACTAGAGGAATCTCGGAACTGGAAGGTGGGAAGACTGGTGAAGAGTCCCACTCCCAGAAGACTGCACTGGTGGGGCGYAGCCTCCGGAAGCTCGGGAGCAAGAAGAGCTGGAGGCCGGTGCACACACCTGGGTGGTGAGACCTGTTTTGAACAGACAGGGAGAGTAAAGGGCAGCTCGGGAGGCTGACCAGTGGCCACCTCTGGCCAGAGGCAAGGGAATTGTAGGGAAGGACACCTGGACATGTGGAAGCTAGTGGTGATGACCAGGTCCTTCCCAGTTCCTGGCAGGGGGCCCAGTGACGGCCATGCCTTATTTCATCATGCGTCATTTATGATTTTGGCCTCAAGTGGGCCTACAAAAGGCACTGAAGGAGAGATAAAGAGCACCTGTCTGACGGCTGGAGTTGAGGACTGGGCCCTGAGACTTGGTCTGAAGGGCAGAGCCGAAGGTGGCAGGAGACCCGGGATCAAGAACTCTG